CCAGAAAAGGACCTCAATCCAGTTTTTGCTCGGCTGAACCCCTGTCTATAGATCTAAATGTTGGCTTCTCCTCGGTCTTACCAAGGGCTTGTTCTGTTCATCCCAAAAATGAAGTTCATTTGTTGAAGCAAAGGGAAACCAGGGGCACGAAAGCCCCTTCTGTTTCTTTAATTTTAGTTTTCCCTAGTGTATACAAGGAGAAGTGCATAAGAATGAAAGCGTCGGCCCTTATGGTATTTAGCGACTCCAAGCTGGTGATCAATCAAGTCTCTAGGGAGTATGAAGCCAGTGATGAAAGAATGGCCAAATATCAGGTGCTGGTACGCGCAGAAATCAAAAAGTTCACCGCAATAAGAGTGGAACAAATCAACCGCGAAGAAAACAACACGGCTGACGAACTGGCCGGCCTTGCATCCATGCAAACAACTTTCCCCAATCCTTTGATGATAGAATTCCTACCTCGGCCAAGCATTGAGGAACCAAAAGTGTCCGAAGTACTCTGCGCTGACCTGGGACCATCCTGGATGGACCCCATCATCTCCTTCCTAAAACATAAAATTCTACCAGAAGAAAAGAAGGCAACCAACAAAATTCGGGCTAAATCAGAGCGATTTTGGCTCTCTCTATCTGGGGCCTTATACAATAAGTCTTTTACTGGGCCGTACCTGAAGTGCGTCCACCCCGACAAGGTGGAAGCTTTCCTCTATGAGATTCATGAAGGCATCTGCGAGAGTCATATTAGGGGAAGGTCTTTGGCTTACCAAGCGATTTCCTAAGGTTATTGGTGGCCGTACATGCAGGCGGACGCGCAGAAATACGTTCGCAGGTGTGAAAAATGTCAAAAATTTGCTCACCAAATCCACCAGCCAGCCAGAGAGTTGCTCCCTCTTACAAGTCCTTGGTCGTTCGCGCTTTGGGGGTTGGATATTATGGGACCACTCCCCATAGCCCCGAGCAACCGCAAGTTTTTCATCGCTTCTACCGACTACTTCACTAAGTGGGTTGAGGCCGAGCCATTGGCAACCATAAAGGAAAAAGATGTGAAGAAGTTCATTTGGTAAAATGTCATCACTCACTTCGGTATACCGAAGGCCCTCATCTCCGATAATGGCACTCAGTTCGATGGAAAACTCTTTCGCGGATTTTGCAAGGAGTTAAAGATCGAATTCTACAACTCAACACCGGCCTACCCTCAGTCAAATGGTCAGGCAGAAGCCTCAAACAAGACCATCCTGGACGGGCTGAAAAAGTGGCTAGAGAAAGCCAAAGGGAAGTGGGTTGAAGAACTCCCCAACGTGCTCTGGGCAAACCGCACCACGCCGAGACGTGCGACCAGGGAAACACCATTCGCCTTGGCCTATAGCATGGAGGCCGTCATCCCACTGGAAATCGGCATGCCAACCATCCGGTCTGAAAGTTTTCAGCCGGACTTGAACAATGAAGCAGTGGCCTTTGGAACTTGACCTAGTTGAAGAAATAAGGGAATGGGCTCTGATCCACATAGCAACCCATCAGCAAGAACTCTCCAGGAAATACAACAAGGCTGTGTATCCAAGGCTATTCAAGATCGGGGACTGGGTCCTGAGAAAGGTGATAGGCAACACCGTGATCCCTGGCGAAGGCAAACTTGGTGCAAATTGGGAAGGGCCGTATAAAGTGACTGGCCTGGCAGACAAAGGGGCATATCATTTGGAAGACTTAGATGGTAAAGCTATCCCCAGACCATGGAATGCAGCTAATCTTAAGATTTTTTACTTGTGAAATGTAATCGCTTTTGTTACTTAGCTTTTTGAACCTTTAGCCTTTTGGCATTTGATGTAAATCGCTGGTATGTAATGAAAGATAGCTCTACTTTTTTATATATTATGTGTTTCTGTACAATGACATCACAGGGATATTGGGCCACTATGGATTCTAGGGGCAAGAAGACCAACTTCCATTGGGCCGAACTAACTTTTTCTCACTAGTGTAGAGACAGGCCGTACAAACAGTTGGTATTCTGTCCAAATTACATGAAGGCCGAGCTGAATTTTGCTCGCCTAAAGTGAAATGTTGGCGTTTTGACCAAGTTGCAAAGGGCCAAGCTGACTTTGCTCGCACGTGTAAAATGTTGGCGTTCTGTCCAAATTGTAAGGGCCGAGCTAACTTTGCTCGCCCGTGTAAAATATTGGCGTTTTGTCCAACTTGTAAGGGCCGAGCTGACTTTGCTCGCCCGTGTAAAATGTTGGCGTTTTGACCAACTTGCAAAGGGCTGAGTTGACTTCGCTCGCCCGCGTGAAATGTCGATGTTTTGACCAAATTATGTAAGGGCCGAGCTGATTTTGCTTGCCCACAAACTTCGTACCCGAGCTAAAAGTTGGCGTTTTGCATGACTTATGTAGGGCCCGAGCTGAAAGTTGTATTCGACAAACATTTCAAATCGAACAAAATTTGCACATTACAACCGAGACAATCACAACCGCACAGAAATAGATACATGGCGGGCAAAAAGTTAAAATTTTCATTGATGGAGCAAGTTGGATTACAAAAGTGGGCCAAGCCCGATTACATTCCAAAAAAAAAAAAACAAACAAACAAAAGAGGAAAAGGAGATCAATTCAAATCTACTAGGGCATCTTGTTCGGTCGCTCCCACCTCGGCTCCATCTGTAGCAGCATTAACCACCGCGACAACCTCCCGCTCGGCCTCTCGATCCTCAGCAACTTCAGGGGCCTCGGAAGGATTTTGCTCGGTTGGTTGCACGGTGGATGCTTCTTCTTCGGCTGCCTGCTTCGCCTCTTCTATAAGCCTTTTCTGCGCGGCGCTTGCATAAGCCTGCATATAGGCCGGAATGAAGGTAGGAGGCGGGTTTTGGAACACTCCGGCGTCTTGACCAAGGCCAAGTTTTTTCACGGCAGCTTTCTAACCGCACTGGAAAAAGATGTCCTCGGTTGCTTGAACCCGCCGCTCATATGTCCTTTCACCCTCCGCGTACCTGCGGTCTTCAGCGTCCTCGACTTTCTTGTCCACCTCGGCCTTGTGGGCGTTGCAGAGTTTACGTAGCTCGGAGATATAGCACGCCTTGGTCATCTGGAGGGCCCTCTGCTTCTCCTCATAAGCCCGGGCCAACCGTTCTGACAGTTGGTCGCGCTCGGCCACTAATGCTTCCTACGCGGCCTTCGACTTTTCCAGTTTGGCCGTCTTGGCCTTGTTGTCAGTAATGGCCTCTCGCAGACTCTTCCTCACGGCTATCATTCGCTCGTGGGCGAAATAGTTCTTCTGCGTAGCCTGCATACACATGAAGGTTGTTAGAATAGAAA